ACTGTTACATATTCCTATTCTTTGCTTCAACAGACAAATACATTACAAAAATTAAAAGTACAAATTAGAAAAAAAAAAAAAAAAGGTGAAAATTGCATCCAAATTGATTTCCCAATAAGAAAAGGATACTGGCCTAAACTTTGAGGCGTTTTTTTTAGAGAGCACCTGAGAACTTTCAAACGAACTTACTGCGCATAATATATTTGAGTTTTGAAATTTAGATAGCTTTATGTAATTATACAAATAAATGCCGCACGTAGAATCTTAACATGTTTTATTTAAGATTTGTTAGTTTTTTATTTGAATTTGAATTCTTTTATTTCTATTACTAATTTGAAAAATGCTATTATATATATGTGATTCATTCCCCTTGTTATAGTAATGATATTTACAAGCCGCTAAAGCAAGCCCCAGGCATGTGTTAAACCATAGAATAAAAATTACACATCATGCATGGCAAAGAAATTTAGGAGCTTGGATGAAAAGAAGATCCCCAATTAGGTGCTTTTCTCCATATGTTAAATAAAGAATAAGAATATCTAATTAACAAAGTTAAGTCTCATTTTAACTTAAGTGAATAGTAAGTAGAGTCACATTAACTTCAAGTATTAGATCTCTATTTTATCAAACAAAAAAGAGAAAAAGAAAACACTACATCAGCAAAAAGATTCTCTAATCTACTAATTATGTAAGCACATATAGGATAGCTATATATATTACAAATGCTTTGATGAGCTTTCTAATTCCTTCCCTTGTCTTAGTAATAGTACTTACAAACTGCTTAAGCACCCCATTCGAATGTTACACGACACAATAAAAGTTATACATCATGGCAAATAAATTTTGGAGCTTTGATGAAAAGAAAGATCCCAAATTGCATGCTTTTTTCCATGTGTTTAATAAAGAATGAGAATATCCAACTAACAAAATTAAGTCACATGTTTAAGTGAATAGTAAGTAAAGTTAAATTAATTTAAAGTATTAAATTTTTATCTTGTCAATAAAGAAAAAAAGGGATAACACACATAACTCTACCTACGGTAGGAAATCCCATTGTGTATGAAGGTGTCAAGATGGTAGCACTTCATTTTTCGAAACCAAAAGTAGGAAAGAATAGGAAGTTACAAAATTTATGATTGCTAATAATAAATCCATCAAACTAATTACACGCAACTTTAAGGATAGCATCAAATAGAAAAGTTACAACATATATTGAAATTAGATAAAGGAGCCCTTTTCTAGTTCAGTGTTAGTCACATCACATCTTATGATTATTTTATTTTATTCTTTGGAATTTTAAGATTTGGATTTTTTTTTCATTGTTTTTAGAGTTTTTTTATTTGTAATTTATAAATTATCTTAATAATAAGAAATTATTAATGTTTAACAACCCATTTGGCTTGAA